CACTTCCTTGAGGATCAGGAAGCTTTTCCTGGGTTGACCGCTGTGCTAACCTCTGTCCCCAGCTAGCAAGCGCTCCTGAGAAACTCCTTGCAGCAATGTCCCTGCTGGTCCCAGATGTAGAAAGGAGAGTGTCTGATGGTGAAGGTCTCTTGCTCCCCAGTGCTCCGGTCTCTGCGTGGCACCTGCTTGGCTGGAATGTGCTCACCAGCATGGGTGCTTGCCATGGGGCCCACTGTAAATGAACAGCACCCCTTCACCCTTTCCCTCAGGACAAATGCAGTGTGTGAGAGTCGCTACCTGGCTCGCTTTGGTCTCCACTGACTCAGCTCGGATCTGTCTTCCTGGTTGCTTGTGGTCAGAGGTTGCCCTGCTCTTTGGAAAAGCACAACAAATGCCTTGTGCCACTCCCCCTTCTTCCAGTGTCCAGCTGTTCTGCTGCTCTGAACTGGACTTGTAAATACCGTCAGAAAGTTAATGTATTTAAATGCTAAAGGAGAATGTTTAACTTCGTGGCTTTGAGACAAAGCTTTTCTTGGAGAAGTATCTCTGTGCACTTCTACTTACAAACGTCTGTCAGCACTGGAGCAGTTTTCTCCACTGCTTTGTCTGCAGGGATAACTTGTAGGTGTCTCCATTGTCGTACCAGCAGCTCGCCTTTCCCCACAGCTCAGTCCCAGGCTTTCTTTGTGCTCAACCCTTAGGCTTGCCTTACACCTAACTCAGCTCCACTGCTCAGACTCTTCTGTTGTGGCACATAGAAGGGTTATTTGGTGAGCTGTGAACTCAAAGGAGCTGTTAAGCACAACCGTGATGTTCCCAAGAAGGATGAGTGTCCTGCAAAAAGAAATGATTTGTACATGGAGGAGAGGCCTGGAGCAGGCACAAGCACAGTTAGTTGGCAGCTATCACTGGGCAGCTCCTCACTGCTCCCTCCTTAGTTCCTCCTTTGTCAACAGTCCTCTGCCCTTCTAGGAACTAATTTATAAGGGTGCTTTACTGTTCTCATCCCTGCTGGCCCCCTGCTGCTAATTCCACACTGATGTCCTGTGTGCCTGGGGCAGGTAGGCAGATCTGACTCCTCTGTCACTTCTCTGAGGTGGTGATTATGTGGGCCAGGAGGTAGCAGAGCTAGAACAGAGCAGGATCACATCCCTACATCTTTTACATGGCATATAGCAGTAATTCCAGGCCTGCTCTACCAGCCCTGTGGTTTTGTATGAGTGCTGTGCAGTTGCAAAATTGTTCTTGGAGCAGGCTACTGCTGGTCTCTCCCCCTACAAAGCTGGCTCTTCTGTGACCCTCTCTCAGCAGTATAGCAGTATTCCCAGGTACATGGTGTGCCCAGAGCATGAGCATCCCTGTGCAACCTTCTGCTCCTATCCAGCTGTACGGAGCAGCAGGGTGGTTGGCTGGCTGCTGCCAGGAAAAAATGGGGCTGCAGAGTTTGCCTCTTTCCCCAGCTGAGGACCAGGTAGGGTTTCATTCCTGCCTGACCACCCATTTCCACAAAACTTATGGGAACTTAGAATCTCTGAAACCTTTGTCTTAACTAAATCTGATTAAATTGGTCCCCCCAAAAAGCTGAGTGGAGGAAAGGACTGCTGGATGGGAAAAAGCCAATGCAATGCATGTTAGTAAAGCCCATTCCTTTAGGGACTGCAGGAGGAGATTCCTTGGTTTGAGGCAGGTGCAGGTGTAGTGGTAGAGTAGCATCGTCCCCCTGTGTGTTGGTTGGATGGACTTTCTGCCCTAGGAAACAAGGCCTGGTTTGTGGCCTCTCCAGCTTGCTGAGTGTCTCCCAGAAGCCACAGAATCTCTGGTGGATTTCTGGCCCTGCAGACTGTCAGTGTCTGCCCCTATTCTTGCAGAATTATCTCTGCACTTTCCCATAACAGGGTGGCTTGAGGCTTAATTCTCATTCCACCTCTCACTGGTATCCACATTCTCCCTGCTTCTCAATAGTGTTCCTGGATGTTGGAAAGCATCTGCTTTCTCTGAGTGTATCTGTGAAAGTCTGCTTTTATTAGAGCAATAATCAAGACCTAAAAATAGAGCTAAACATAGGTGATTGATTTATTAAATATCTTCAGCTTGTCATTGCTTGGCTGGACGCACTGCCCAGTGCAGGTGCAGTGAGGGTGGAAAGCTGGTAGTGCCCATCTCCTCCCATGCATCTGTCCTCGGTGTTCTAGATACCAGCATCCTCCTCCCTTTGGACATGCACTGAAGGCCCTCACTGGGATCAACTTGTGTGTTTAGGCATGGCCCCTCTTATCTCTGTCTGTGCCCCTCTCCTGTGGCAAAATCTGTTTCTGTGACAGGGTTCTGTTGCATTTACATTTGCACAAAACAGGTTTTATTATGAAATTCCCTATTGCAGGGAAAACTTATTTATTTATTCCTCATGATCCTTCCAAGTTTTTTCCAGTCTCTGCCTGATTCCACAACCAATTGGACATTCCTTGTCAAGGACAGAGAATCCTGCCTGGGTGATCCTGTTTGCTCACAGGTAGCAAGTTCTGTGGGCACCAGCAGAGAGAGCCCTGCCACCGCAGCCGGTCCCCTGCTGTGGGACACAGGGATGTCACTGCTCCAGTGGACTCCCAGGGCGGTGATGTTCCTGAGTGGCAGGCACCCAGCTTAATTTAGTGCTGTGGTCAGGGGAGGGACTTGCTTCTGTCGTGGTCTGGGTGAAAGGCTGAGAACTGATCAGTGTTAAGATAAATCTCCATTCATGTATTTGGATGTCTCTCCCTTTGGCACGATGAAGCACAGCTGGCGCCCACATGACGTAGATGTGAGAGCTCTTGCTTTCATCTCTCTGGTGGCAAATTTAGGCTGTACCTGAAAGCTTTTTTGTTTTGGTAGAAATTATGGCTGATTTCTTTTTTAATGAAAATAGAGGGTTCTTGAATGCTGCTGCCTTGGTGGAATACCATTTCTTTTTCAGGGTGTGCCCTGGTTGCAGCAAGATGCTGCTTTTTTTTTTTTTTTTTTTTGTGTGTGTGTGTGTGCGCCTTTCTTGTGGGGATGATTATTTTGGTTTCCAGAACATCCAGGGCATTTGCTCTTGTAGTCATTTTCCTGGTCCTCTGTCGTGGTTACTCTGCCCTCTCCCAGCCTTGTGAATTGGTGTGTGTCTGTCTGTCTGTTATGGTATGGCCTGACCTGCATTTATGCCCTGCCACACCTTAGGTTCTGCTCAGAGCACCCAAGGTACTGTCTTTCTCAAATTTGAATTAATAATTAATATAAAAAGCTTGAAAAAAAAATCTGAATTTTGTTACATAGTGTAATAACTGTTTGTAGATACTGTCCTGAGATGTAGGAATCTATTGGTGATATAAAAGGTTTTGTCTGTAAATAATCAGTTTAGAGTCAAAATGAATTTAATAAAGAGAATTCTTACACAATAATTCAATAAATTTTAATATACAACCTCTGTGTCATGCTTGTATTGCATGATGATGCAATTATGCAGAATGTATTTGCCTCTTTTTCTTCCTCAGTGAAAACTGTGTACTCCTAAGCACCAGGACCTGGAAGCTGTGCAAGGAACGTGGCTTTTCTGTCCTCCCTAGGCTTTGTTTCTTCAAGATAACCTTGTCCCGCCTTCCACCTGCATCCCTCTGCAGTTTCCAGAGCTGAAATACTGTTCCTGCCCACGGGAGGAGGCAGCCTCTCTCCAGAGACACTCCTGTTGGGCTGGCCTTGGGGGCACATGGCAGCTCTGGCTGTGGTCTCTCACTGTGCCAAAGGGTTGCTGAAGGTACGCTGTTGTCCACCAGTTTTCCTAATTTACCAAAACAACTTAATTCTTAAATGAATTTCACAGTTCTTCCCAGACAACAATCTGGCTCCTGGCCCATCTGTCGTCCTTTCTTCCTTCCCCTTCTTTTACTAGCAGAGTTTTGTACAGTCTTCTTCTCCCCCTCTTTTAGTCCCTCCTCTCTGTACTCGGGGTGTTCTTGTTGCCCTTTAAGGGGTCACAAACCACTCGTCCCCTGCATGCTGCCCCGGGCTCAGCACCCGGCCTGGCGCAGCCTCTGCCCCCTCCCTTGGTATTTTTAGTGCAGGGAAGGCAGGTGAGAGCAGAGGGGCACAGGCAGGGGGAGAACCGCTCTGGGAGGCCCTGGCCTGGGTTTGGCAGCCTGGAGCTGCAGCAGAGCTACTGCAGGCAGGGTTAACCCTTTGCTGCAGGGCTGGGCCACATTCTCCGCAGCCTCAGCCAGGAAACCCGAGCTGCTCGAGCCCAGGGCCCCAGTGAGGGGGAGCCCAGGCCGTGCCCAGCTCCAGTGTGAGGCTGCAGCTTGTGGCAGTGAGGGAAAAAAAATGTGATTCTTACTGCGTGTGGCCTTTTCCTCCCCAGTGTCTCATGGTGCTTGGGTCCCCTGCAGGGAGGATGCTGCTTCACTTGCTCTCCAAGAGAAAGGAACAGGGGAAGCGTGGGCTCTGTGGCCATCAGCACCGTGGTGTGATGGTGTTTGACTGTGTGCAGGCTCTGCTGGAGAGGCCGAGGTTCCTCAGGTCTGGCAGTGTGGCACACGGAGTGGTCAGGGAACAGGGCTGGCTCTGCCAGGCAGAAGCTGGTGCCGCAGGAGCAAGTCCTGCTGACACACTGCTGGGAGCAGGGGGAAGAGTCAGGCAGTCCCACGGTTTCTGGGTCTGGAGAAGGCAGAGCAGAGGGGGAGGACTTCTCTGTTTCCATCTCAGTAGAGCTGTGAATTTCCCGCTATAAATAGTTGCTGTGGAGACTATGAATCTACTGCAGGCTCACAGGCCTGCTGCCAGGGAGGCAGGGAGAGGCCAGCAGTAAAGTGAATCCACCGCAGCTGTCTGAGGTCTCCTGCTCTCCCAAAGCCAAGGTTGTTCCCAGAAGTGGTGCTGTGATCTGATACCCTGCCCCACTCCTCACCACGTCCATGCAGCGATGCAGAAGTTTGGTGGGCTCAAGGACATCCCTCCTGGGGCAGTGCAGACTAAAATCAGAGCAGGACCAGCTGGTATCTCACTTTGGGGAGCTCCAGAAGGAGCCAGATGACAAAGGGAATGGCGTGTCCTGCCCATGAGCTGCTGCATGGTGAGTCTGAGCTGTGCCCTGGGGCTCAGAGCCCCGCCAGGGCCGCTTGTGTGCTGCGTGCTGTGACTTGCAGGGGTGCTGTGCTCAGCAAGGGCTGATAGATCTGTGGTGGTGCTGAAGCTGAAAGTGTGTATTGCTCTGGTGAGTTCTGGCACTCCAAAGGTCCAAGTGTCACAAGGCATGACTGGTGTTGGGCAGCTCTGTACACCATTCCATGCAGGTTGGGTGAAGGAGTCCAGGCCAGACGTGAAGCATCGCTCCTTGTCCATGGCTCTCACAAACCAGGCAGGAGCAGTTCTTGGGTTGAAGTTCTCTGAGCTAGTCCAGGCCTGCAGCAATTCAGTAGGTTCAGCACAAAATAGTTGGAATGGCAAAAGCAAAAGAAGTTGTATTTAACGTGAAAGTGTCAAGAAATGAAGGATTAAAAGCACCAATTGTCCTTTATCACAAAGCTTAGAAAAGTGCATTTCACTTTCCTGCACCAAGTTGCATAGCAACACTCTTCATCTTTTGCCCGTGCTTCCATCTGGAGAAGGTGGATGGAGGTAAACCTTGCATGCCTAAGGATAGATTTGTCTTACCTCTGCAGCAACAAGGCCACCAGGGCCCAGTGAACTGCCCAAAAACTCCATCAGCCCTAGGGCTAGGATGAGTCTTACACTTTGGGTCCTATTTTCTCACTGAAGTCTCCTATCACCAGAGCACTCCACCAAGGGAAGAAGCTGTTGAACTCCCATCTCCACACACTCATGAGTTTTCCTTTGGCAGGTGAATGGTAAGCCACAGAAGCCACAGAACTAAAGCTTGCTTGCTCTCAGCTCAGGCCCTGCTGTCTTCATGCTGTGAGTGAAGAAGGCTTAGGCAGATGCTGGTGGTGCAGGAGTGTGTGAGGTAAGATTAGTCTGTGCACAAATAAGGAAAATTTTGATTTCAGTTCTGTTTCATAGGTAAGATGTCAGAGAGTATTTGCTGTAAAGAGTGGCCATGCATACATGCAGCATCTGGGAGGTTTATACCTAAAGAGACTGATTCTGAACAGCATAAATGCAAGGGTTAGAGGTATAGAAATGTGAGGAGGGAGAGGCATTTTGAACTCCTTTCAGACTTCTGTGCAGGCTTGGGTGAACAGAGTAACATCAGCTCTGGCACTTTGGGTTTTCCCTGACAGGATGAAAGTCTTGAGCCCAGTCTGACCGTCAACTAGAACTGTGTTGGGAGCTCACTGAGTGCCCAAAAGCAGGCTGTGCCTCTGGCTGCTGAGCTGGGAGAGGAACATCAGCACGTGGAAAGAAACTTTAATGTTTTGAGGAAGTCAAAACAGGTGCTCTGTCTCAGCACCTGGAAGATGTTACTGTTCCAGAACAACCCCCTGCAGCACTGCCAGCCCTCTATAATTATTTCTGAAAATCTTCTGGTTCAGATAGTTCTTAGCTTTAGTGACCTGATTTGGAGGATTTAAAGTTCAATGTTTCTACCTGTGCTAATGGTCTGTGGGCATTACTATCACCTGTCTCAAGCCCTGACAGTGTGTGTTAGCCTGAAGCTTCAGCTGTACAGCAAATGATATTTCTAAATTATGAAAGGCTGAGTTGGGAGTGCCCTAGCTACTGTGGCTTAAATCTGTATTTCATTAGCAAGAAGGGCTCTGGGCTGCTGTTTCAGGTGACCACTACTGAAGCCACTACTACGTCATTGCTGCGGCACTGGGGGACAGCAGTTGGATCAATCTGTCTGTGCTGTCTTAGTGTTTATGCCTTGGGCTGTCATAGTAACAAACCCCAGGAACAGCCCCTTGCCAGGATGTCCTGTGGCCTTGCTGGGATGTCACAGGATGGTCAGTGATAAACCCATGCTCCAGCCCCAGGGCTGGACTGTGGGCAGAGGAGCAGCACTGTAATGTTTAGAATGCAAGTTCTGTTTCACACCCCTCTGGAGCAGGAGACTTCTCCTGCCAGCCAAAGCCCAAATTCCCTCCTCAGCCAGGATGGGGATAGGGAGGGGGTGCTTTCCCTGGCTGTGGGAGGGGATCCCACAGACCCTGCTAAGCCCCTGAAAATACACACTCGGAAACCTAAGCCTCCCACCTGGCCCTGGCCCGGACCAGCCTGCCAGCTTTCCTCTTCTGAACTCTTAAAATAATCCCTGTCTCCCTGAAGTGCCAGAAGCGCTTTTAACAGCCTGACTCCAACAGCTGCCGAAGGGAATGGGAAGGAAAGGGGTGAGGGCATAGCAGAGGTATGGCCACCCTGCAGCTCTCTTCAGCTCTCTTGAAAGGACTAAAGTGCTGAAGATTACACCACCTGTGTCCCACTGCCTCCATCTCCTCGTGCCAGGATCTGCTGTGCTCCAGGGCCATGGAGGAGCAGGTGCAGCAGGGGATGCCATCAGCCCAGCGCACAGGTCAGTCCTTGGGCATGAGGCTCCAGAGATGAGATCATGCCAGGTTCTTCCCAGGCTAGAGGAGGCCACTGGGACCTGTCAGGCTGTCCTCAGCTGCTAGTTCAGTCTAAGAGCATTTAGAGATGTCACTAATATCTCTTGGCAATGGTTTTCCACAGGAGGCCACCACCCCATGCAGGAGGGAGAGGTGTTCAACACACGATACCAGGTGCTGCACAAACTGGGTTGCGGCGCCTTTGCCACTGTCTGGCTGTGCCAGGACATGAGGTGAGGGGCTGAGTGCCACTCAGGGGGGTGGGAAGGGGTGGTTGATGTCCTGGGCGGGGCTGGCTCCTCTTGCAGAAACAGCAGAGCACATCCTGGGAGAATGCCAGGCATCCCTGAGCACAGGGAAAAGCTGACTGCAAGATCAGTGGGGTGCAACAAGCAGAACTGGTCCCCAGAAATCAAAGAATGTAAATGAGGTGGGATCGGCCTTTTCTCTGCATTTTCTTTTCTCATTCAGACCCAGCAGTATCCATGTTCTTTTTCTCTCCAGTCCCTTGCTGGTCCCTGGGGCAGTTGTGCTGCCAGATGCCAGCAGGAGGGATGCCCATAGGCCTGGTGTGCTGTAGACTGAGGCCAAGGGTGCCTGCAGAAGGGCAGTGCCTTCCCCGGGGAGCCCAGGGCTGGCTGACTGGGAGAAAGGGAAGTGCTGCTGGTCAGGGCCACTGGCATGCATTGGCTGATAGCTGTGATTCATTTCCCAGGAGGAAGAAACAGGTAGCTGTGAAGGTTCTGAAAAGCAGGGAAGGCTTTGCTGAAACTGCCCAGCACGAGGCTGCTTTCCTCCGCTGTGTAAGTATATTCTGTGGGTCTGTGCTTTGCTCCAGCAGCTGGCCACTGAGTTCAGGTTTGAGTATCAGCCTCATCATTTCCTCTGCCTCCAGGTTTCACTCCAAGGAGCTGGGTGGGGAATAGGAAAAACAAAAACAAAAACAAAAGCTAGGAAATTCATACAAATCACCCTGGCTCAGCACTGGCCTCTGAAAGAGGTATCTTCTTCTTCTGCCATCATACTGGGACATGTTAGCTTTGCCCCACTTGCCCTGTCAGCCCATTTCTTTTAGCTGAGACTGAAATCCAGCAAAAATGAGGAATCTGCAGAATGATAAGATGGATAATCAACAGAAGAAGGTGGTAGTGTTTTTAAGCAGGAGATGGGAGCATGTCTGCTGTACCTGTGTCATTCACAGAGGAATGTCACTCAGACAATTGCTGAATCACAACACTGATAGTGAAGTAAAAGGAAATATCTGCAACAGAAAAAAATATGATGCATCAAAATGCAATAAATATCTGAAGTCTGAAAGCTTCTGGCCTCTGCTAATGGAGGTGGTAATTAGGTGCCTGTATCTGGGTTGTAGCAAGTTGCCTTTGAAGTTGGCTTGAACTGCTAGTTCTAGAAAGCTTGTGGTTATAATTCTTCAAGTTTGCTCAAAATACAAAGATACATCAGCTCAAGATGAGTAAAAGCTATTAAATTCTTAATTTTAAATTACTCTGTTGCCTTTCTTCAACAGGTTTGAGAAAGGTTAAGTTAACACTGGTATATCTGTAGGCCGTATCTGAAGGGAGATGAGCCAGATGCAGTGATGCAAGAGGAAGTACCAAGCGGCATTAATTTAATGTAATCAGAGGGCTGCTTTTCTACACATCAGCACAACCCTGTGTAGAGAGTGAGCCTTACCCCTGATGAGAGATGCCTGACCACAGCAGCAGCATTCAGTAGCACACAGCTGGTTCCCAAGGCTGTTCCCACCAGCACTGGGAGGATAGTGCCTGCAGAGCTGCCAGGAGAGGTGATCCAGTCTCTGCTTCCAGGGCTGCTCACTTCTGCTGTGGCAGAACAAACCTTCTGGCACTGGTGCAGGTGGATCTCTCATCTGTAAAATGAGCCAAACCAGAACCCTGGCAGTTGTGGCCGTGAAGAGAGAAAAAACTAGCATGAATTGCTGTACCAGGATAAGTGCTCTGGGAGAGCAAGCCCCTGGTGCTCCTTGTCACAGAAGTGTGTGGTGCTGGGGGTAGCACCTCTGCCTGGAGTGAGTGTTTTGACACTGTGAGTGTGATGGTCCCAGAGCAAGACAAGATGGTCAAGAGCAAGACAAGACATACAGAACCTCATTCCTGGTTTTCCTGATGTTGTTTCCATGGGATTTGTCATGAAGTGCCAACTCCCAGAAGAGAAAGTCTGTCAGAGAGGATGAAACACAGGTACAAGGTGCCCTTGTGCATATATATATGTCTCTAATTGCAGCTTTCTTGGCATTGTCCCCCTCAGGTAAGCTGCATGAAGAAGAAGGACCTGGCGGGGGAAAACATCGTCTGTTTGTTAGACGACTTCAGAATGATTGGAGATAATGGTTTCCATATCCTTCTGTGGAGAGTGCTTTTCTGGACCAGCAAAGCCTGGGCTTGCCTTGGAGAGACACAGGATGGTGTAAACCTGAGTGCTGTGCTGCCATGAGGAGGATGAGCAGGACTGTAGCTGGACCAGGGCACATGGGTGTGGCTGGAGGGGAGAGGCTGAATCAGGAGATATTTGCTTTGGTCAAAGGCGAAGGTTGATGGTAACACCTTTCCCTGTTAGTGATTCCCTAACTCTTTCCCACATTCCTGCCTGGTATTTGAGGTGCTGGGTCCTTCCATTCGATGTCTGATGGGAAACTACACAGCCCAGGGACTGCCCTTGCCTTTTGTGAAAAAGTCTTTACAGCAGGTGAGAACTTAGCTGCAATCAAACAAGGGCACCAAGGGGCTGTTTGCTCTGCAGGACATGCCACAGTCTTCCTCCCAAGGGGAAGGGCTTGGGTGTTACTTCTTAAGCCTGCAGGCTCTTCAGGTTTGGGAAGGAGTCAGGGCCACAAAGTGCCAACAGCCTGCAGATGTACACCGGGGAGGCAGGGCTGGCACTTCCATTCCTATCAGCTCAGTAATCATTGCGTTCTCTGTTGCTTGTAGAAATTGCAGCGAACAAACAGCCTTCCAGAGTTTTACTTCTTGTGGGCAAACCATCTCTGCTCTCCTGCTGCCCTGGGGAGTCCCCTCTGGCAGTAATGCCAGACTGCTGGCATTTTCCTTGGCTTCCAGCTGTCAGCTCCAGCAGCTTTCTGCATGGTACCACTGACACTGATGGCTGCTCAAGGTCTCCCTCCTATCTTTACACAAATTTCTAAATTGCTGATTTGGTCAGCTGATTCTCTTTCCATGTTGAGGTTTCCCTGTACAGAGCAAATTTTTCCTTCATCCCTTCTAAGGATGTGTTGTGCCTATTTAAAAGATGGTGAAAACTGAGTTTATTCAGGGCTGGCTCTGCTTGAGGAATGGGAAACCTGAGTGAGGCCTCAGAATAGTTAAAATTACTTCTTGCCTCTTGTGCTGAGATTTATCAGAAGTCTGTACACTTGCCAAGATGAAGATTTGCTACCCTGACTCCTGTGCCCTTCTAGGGATACTAAGAAAGAAAATTGCTTCCTCCTTCATTCTATTTTCTGTAGTAGCCTCTCCTTTCTCTAAAGAAGTTCCACTAACACCTGAGTAAGTCACACAAAAATGTAGTGGCATTACCTCTGTGCTCCATTTCACACTCAGGCTTTTGCTTGATACATTATCTGCTTTAATTGTAAAATCTCAGCTCCGTTTTCCCCCTTCAGATCAGCACTGGGGCAGTATTTACTTCTGATTCATTCCAGTTTAGTTATTTAAATCTTTCCCCACATTTCACAGTTACCATTTAAGGCTGATATTTCCCTGGGCCTGGTGTTCATCCCAGAATAGACTTCGATAATACACAGAATATTTACCAGTCCTTTATGACTGACCAGAGTGTTAAAAAACAAACCTAAATCTTCCCATAGCTTTTTCTGTTATTGATTTCTGATAGTGACTGTTCATCTCTGGTAGGTGTTGTTTATCTCTCCCCTGTCACAGGCCAGGCTCTCCCTGCTGCATCACAAGCTGCTCTTTCCCTACATGGCTCTCCTGCAGGGCCCTGAAATTCCCTTGCTGCACTCACTCATGGTCTCTCCCCCTCCTGTCTGTTATCCCGTGTCTTCTTTCCTCGTATGATGGGACACCCTTCTGCTGTCATTCAAATGGGATTTGGGGGGTGGTTATAATCAGTGGGAAGGCACAGAGGTCCCAGGACACAACAGCCATACAAACAATAATGTTTTTTCAGGAGAAGGTTCAGCTTTGTAATCATAATGCCTCCTCATAGCCCCATCCTCTTCCCCCCTCCCCTGGGCTTGCCCATCCATGCTGGTATCTGTGGATTGTCACGCTGCCTTTTGCTGTGTGTCACCCCAAACAGCCCTTTCCTCACTGGCTGTCCAGGCCTGCACTTGCTCCTGGGGCTCTGCTGCCGTGTGGGCTGATGAAACCCTTGAGCCTGCTCCCACAGGCCACCCCAACAGGAAACCATTTATTGCCAACAGTTACCCTCCGTGCCCAGTCTGTCCCTGACACACACTCCCGCTGTGCCTGCCCGCTCTGGCAGCTGCTGCTGGGGCAGGAGAGGCGGTGGGGACCCTCTCTGGGCTGGTGTGACAGCGCTGCCTCATTGCCCAGGTGCTGGCAGGGTTGCATTTCCTGCACAAGTGCTGCCGCATTATCCACGCAGACATCAAACCGGAGAACATCCTGCTGCATGGATGCAGCAAAAGGCTCCAAAGGCTTCTCATGGATACACTCGACAGCGACCAGGGAACAGAAGTGAGGCTAAAGGGAGCAGGTGAGCACTCCAGAGCTTTTCTAACAAGAAAACAGAGTTAAGTGTTTATTAGCAGGAGAGAAATTAGACACAGCAGGTACAGACACCTTTGGAAAGGTTCACATGTCTTGCAACAGTCAGTACAAAACATTACAGCCAGTACAAAACATTATAGCAAGCTTATGCTGCTGAAAGCCCTCTCCTTTCTCTGCTTAACACAAACCCCAGGCTGAGCTCAAGGCACCTATAGAAATGTGGTCCTCCATTATGTGAAGGACAACTACAGGTCACAGATATCTGTTTACAACCCAACCACAACCTCAGAACTCACTGTCAAGGCTTTAGGTACAGGACAGTTCCATGTGTCTGATGTTTTCAACTACTGAAAGGTTTACATACAAAATGGCTTGATCAGAAAGCTGCATGACCCTCCTGCTCTTTATTTCAATCATTTCTGAGGTTTGTGGGAGATTTGTATGTGCTGCTAATCTTGAAGGCCTTCTGAGACATAATTTATTTGCACAGAATGGTGTGAATATTGAACAAGATGTAGAGCTGGAGAGTTTCTTGAGCAATTATCTCATCTCTCAGCAATGAGACCTTTTATATTATCCTTGCACTGTGTTCTCCTGTGAGCATTTCTCCCATGACAGTGTTGTTTTGTCTCAAACTCTGGGGCAATCAGGGAATGTTAAATTAGTGACCCAGTCTTTTGCTTGGAGCAGAAAATCACAATATTAAGCATAGGCTGACAGCTCATTGTAAGGCACTAAACCAGGAATTACCTTTTTCTGGAATCATATGGAAGCATAACCTCCACATTGCTTGCCAAGCAGGTTGTGTCCAAGGTCTGTGACCGCCAGGATTGCTGAAGATTGAGGAGAAATTACAGATGTTTTGGTTTTGACTGGTGCTCTCCTCTGGGCCCACAGTAATTTAACCGTGGTGGTAGAGGAACCTTGCAGCAGAACAGGAGCATATAGTCACACTGTTCCACTCCAAGCTACTGTCCTCCCAAACATTCCCTTATGTTTTTACTGGATACCAGGTCTTCTTTTGTGTTCCTTCAAAAAAGAGGGGTGGCATTTGATTTATGATAAAAAGTATTTAGGACCTTTTAGGCTGAGAAACTTTAAGGGAAGGCAGACATGCCTCTCCTGTGGTAAGTGCTGTGTACATGCTTGTTCAGAAAGGCCTGATTTCTTTTTGTCATTTCCATCTAGGAGGTGATCTTGGCAATCAGTTGGAAGAATCTGATTTAATGAGCATAGAGGTGAAAATTGCAGATCTAGGAAGCGCATGCTGGACAGTGAGTCTGCTCTGAGTCTCCATTCCATAACAATGTGGGATGCTGTGTGCTTCTTTCCATCCCACACTGTGTGTCTCTCTGTCCCTTTACAGCTGAACAGCGATTTCAGAGATGCTGATATTGGGGGGTGTTATGTTTGGCACTCTCAGCTCCAAGCTGCACACTGTCTTCCTGAGACACTGCCAGCTTTGGACGTTTCTCCAGCTTGCAGTTAGTCCCTACAATTGGAAATTTTAAACTATGTTCAGTGTGAAATGGTGGGAGGTAGATTCCCATTGGTGTCAGTGGGGCCAGGAACGTGCTGGCCATGCCCTGTGCAGAGCTGAGAACCCACATTCATCTGTGTCCCCAATGTCCTGTCACTTCACAAGAAGCTTGTGGCCACCAGCATTGCTGTGACTGATTTAGGGACAGCAACCACAGGGAATTTGTTTCTGTTTTAGTACAAACCTTTTTCCAAGGAGATACAGACCCAGCCATACCGTGCCCTGGAAGTGCTTCTTGGACTAGACTACGGCACCCCTGCGGATATCTGGAGTACAGCCTGCCTGGTAGGACTGGGGACAACACTGTGTGTGTAGGGGAGGTGACAGACATTACCTGGCCAGGGCAGCATGTCCTTAGCATCCACCTATCCACGTAAAGAAAGCTTCCTTTCTGAGAAGGCAAAAGGGGCTGTTGGCACTCACTCAATTTGGGACAAAAGTCTGCTGCTGGTAGAACCCACTCCTAAATTAGTTTAAGCTTTAAGGCAATTCACACTCCATGTAGATTAGCTCAGAGGCTTGCCTGCATCAGGCACATGCTGCTTTTCATCCTGATGAAACTAAAGGTGTTTCACTGTGGTACAGATCAAGCCAGTGTGAGCATTTCCATATTTTAAGATCAGTTTTGTGTGATAAAGAGGGCAATTGGTACTATCAGCTAGTGGGCACGGAAAGCTCCAAGATAATTAGTGAATTAACAGTGCTACTCCACTTCTAGGCATTTGAAATGGCAACTGGGGAGTGTCTATTTGATCCTCAACCCGGGAAATACTTCTCCAGAGATGATGGTAGGACTCCATGAGTTTTATTCATTTCACTGACAAAAGTGTTACAGTCTGTATCTAAATCTATCTTCCCTCCCTCCATCTAGATCATGTTGCTCGTATTATTGAACTCTTGGGAAGAATTCCTCCTCAAATTGTTTTCTCATGGAACAAGTCAACAAATTTTTTCAGCAGGCCAGGTAAGAACTGGCAGAAGGAAGTTTATTTTAAAAATCACTGCAGATCTCTGACACACTCCTACTCAGCTCATGCTGAACTCCCCCAAAAGTTACTCACACAATGCAGGCTACAAGCGAAGATGGAACACAAATGGAAATTTCATAAAGAGCAGTAACACTCCCTGCCTTGCCTATCCTTGCAGTCCATGAGCATTCCAAGGATGAATGCAAAATCCTGAAAGATCGTTATAGCAAATGCCTAACAGGGAAAGCATTTCCATTCTTTCTCCTCTGGATTTGGAGAAAATGGAAATACAGACAGGAAACAGCTCCATGCCAGGAAGGCTGAGGAGTTTGTAACAGGCTGAATTTCACCCATTCACTGGCAGAAAACAATGATGACCAGGAATGGGGCACTCATATCCTTCCAATGAGGCTGCTATATTTAGTCTTCTGACCCAACTGTAACATCTCTTCTGTTTTATTCTCCCCAGTTCCTTTCCCTTTGACTCACGAGTCTTGAAACCCTTTTTTGACCACAAGGCATCACATGACTCCACCCTTCTGCAATCTGGCCTATCATCCTTCTCTGCTCCCATGCTTACCAACCCACCCACAGTTCATTCAGTGCGTAGTACTGGTCCCATGCTGGAATGAATTTAACAAGCACCTCCCTGCACACCCACATCCTTTGCTCGTACTTATGTCTTCTATGGTGTTTAAAAGAAATGAGTCAAAATTAGTTCTACGTTCACTCTCCCTGTGAACCAACCTGGCCTGACCATACATGCCTAACTAGAATCACTGTATTTACACCATGCACTCCCCAGGACAAGGGTTGCTTCTCGCTCAGCCATACACTCTGCTGAGCCCCACAGAGCTGGCTGGCCCATAACAAATTCAACAGGAGTGTCTTGCGAGCTCTGACACTGAAATAGCAGGATGCATCCGGGTGACCGTGGGCAGGCACAGGTACAAGCAGCAATGGCTCTAGCATGTTTTTTCTGGGAACACTTTGTGTGCTCTTGGCACATTCTCAGCTAAGAAAAGTACTCGGGAACAGGCAGACTCCAAACATTAGCTTGGAAAGGTGGTTCCTGAGAAACCCCCGAGAGCTAAACCTGCAAGGGGCACCGCAGGTGGACCTTACAGAGCAATTCCAAGAAGGCTAAGGTCCTTCAGGCTGCTTTGGGTTAATTCTGAGGCGAGGCGCGGCAGCCTCAGCCGTGCAGGTGTGACTGAGGCGCTGTGCCCACGCTGTTTCTGCCAGGCGCGCTCCTGCGGCTCTCCCGGCTCTTCCCCCGTAGCCTCCCCGGCATCCTGGCGGACCGGCACGGCTGGACAGCGCGGGACGCGGCCGCCTTCGCCGCCTTCCTGCTGCCCGCGCTGCACTACGCGCCCGAGCGCCGCGCCAGCGCCGCGCAGAGCCTGCAGCACGCCTGGATCGCCGCGCCGTGACCCGAGCCGGCTGTCCCCGCCTCGCGGCTCCGCGGGACGCGCCGCAGCGGCCGCACCGCCCTCCCGCGGGGCCGGGCCGGCTGCCACGGCGGGGGCCGACTGCCCGCCCACAACTCCCCGTGCGCCGCCTCTGCCGAGCGATCCCCGAGCGGGGCGGCGGCTGCACGGCCCCCTGCGTGAGCCCGAGGCTCCCTTCGCGCCCGGGGTCCGCTCCATTACTCCCGCGTCCCTGCAGAGCTGCGGGCCGCACGCATCGCTCAGAGCAGCCGCCGTACAGAGCACCGGAACCGGGCGGAGGCCCTCAGCCTAGCGCGGGCACCGAGCGCCGCGGGGCCCCTCCTGCCCGGCTCGTACCGCGGAGGGGCCGTCCCTCCGCCTCACTGCCCCGCGGCCTTTGTTTGGGGCTCCAGGGACGGGGACCGGCCAGCTGTGGATGCGCTGGTCCCGCCGGCCCGGCCCGAGGAGGGGCGGCCTCAGCCCCCCCCCCGCTCAAACCCGCGCGCGCGGACGTGCCGCGCAGCAGGCCCCTCGCGCGCGTCGCCGCGCAGGCGCCCTGGCTCCCCCCCTCCGCCCAAACCTCCCGGCCGCCCCCCGCACCGCCCCTTCGTTCTGCCACGTGTCCCGACGCGGGAGTCGCCCCGCGCCGAGCAATCGCGTCCCGCCGGCCCCGCCCCTCGGCACGTAGCGCGGTTCGCCCGGCGGAGGCTGCCGCAGCCCACCCGCCCCGCAGCGCGTCGACGCTGCCGGCGGCCGCCCCCCTCTTCTCGGCGCCGAGCGGCAGCGCCGCGCGCCAATGGGGCGCCGCGACCGTGGGGCGCGCGGCGGGGCGGCCGCGTGGAGCCCAATGAGGCGGCAGCAAGGGCGGGGCCGCCAGGCGAGGTCGCTAATGGTGAAGGCGGGAGGGCGGGGCGGTGGCGGCGGCGGGCGCCCCGGCGGGGCGGGACGCGGCGGCGTGACAGCCAACGGGGAGCGGGGTGGGCGTGCCCGGGGCGCCCCTGGCGCCGGCGCCGGGGATCCCCGTGTACCCAGTGCCGTTTCCGCCCGGCCCGGGGAGAAGCCGCCGCCGCCGCCGGGGGAGGGGCCGCCGCGGCCGAGCGCTCGCTCTCGCCGGCTGCCCGGAACACGCCGTGGCGCCGAGCCGGGCCTGGTGCCGCGCAGGGGCCCGGGGAACGGGCCGGCCAGGTAGGCGCGGGCAAGTGAGAACCGGCCGTACCCGGCGGCGGTAGGGAACGCTGGGGCGGGCGGCTGGGAGGACGGCCGTGGGGGCTTCTGGTGCGGCCCGCGGTCTGACGCTCTGCTCTGTCCTGCCTTGGCATCCCGGTCGGCAGCGCCCCGCCGAGCTCCCTGAGGCCCGGGCCGAGCTGACCCGGTCCGGCGCGGTGTGCGGGCATCATGGCGGGCCCGGCGGTGCGCGGGCTCGGGACGTTGGCGGCCGCTGCAATGCCAGGGCCGGAGTTGGGGCTGGAGCGGCCGCGGGGCTTTGTCGGTGAGGACGAGCGCCGGGGAAAGCCCCGCTTCAGCCCGGCTTTTTCCTCGCCCCCGTGTCCCCGTATTGTCCCGAGGGGCCGCGGGGGTCGTTGTCCGGCTCGGGGCAGCCTTCGGGCCGTGGCTGCCCGCCCCGAACCGCCGGCCCCTCCAGGCCTCGGGGGAGGCGGTGTTTGACCTGCATTTTCTGCTTTCTCATGGTGCCCGTGCGGCGCCTTCCTTCGTAACCCCCGCTCCCGGCGCCGGCGGCTGCAGCGCGGATCCTCCCGCATTTTCTCGCCCGTCACCGCGGCCACCGCCGCCGCATGGGGGGTTCCCCGTCGCGCTGCCCGCGCCCCGGCCCCGCTCCGACCCCCGACGGCACCGGCAAGGTCACTGTCGACCGGCGGCTCGTCCTTGGGTGCCGGTGACCGGAGTTCACCGCCGGGCCGGGTGGGGAAGCGGCGCCGGGCAGTGTCTCGCCGTCCCGGGGGAGGGAGAGAGGCGAGGCCGCGTGTGGCCCTGTGGAAGCGGGGAAATGGGTGTAGCAGCGAGGGGGGGTTCGCAGCCCCTTCCCGGCCGTGTCCTCCTGTTCCTCTGACACCAGCTGAGATCCTGGGTTTGCTCTTGGGGGCTGGAGGGTGTTCTGCGGGGCTGGAGAGGTCACGGGGTGCTGCAGGGCTCCTATGGCTGCTGCGGGCTCGGGCCATGATGTAATGAGAGCGTTGGGGGTACGGCGGGGGCGAATCCCTCTCCTTGGGTGAGGGAAGAACTTGATGTTGGTGTCTGATGGTGTGCTAGTACATTATGGATTTCAGGCAGTTGCCCCCACCCTGACTGGGTGTTGCTGCCAGAATCTAAATCCAAAAAAGGAATTTCTTATTTTTTTCAATATTCAGAGATTCCTTTTTTCACTTATATAGGAAATACTAGGATTTTTTTTTTTTCTGCTTCTTGTGGTTGACCTAGGAAGTCATCTTGTTGCCAGCATTCAGGGCTTTTTTTTTGCTGTAGAGGTGCAGGGAGGAGGGTGTTGCTGTGCTCTGGATCCTGTGGGTAAGCGTTGAAGGCAGTGACAGCAGCTGCTGTTGGCTCTGGAGCTCTGGTTGCTATGAGAGAAGCTTCACTAGACTTGGCTGCTATCTCCAGGGAAGGACAGCAGAGCAGCCTCCATTAGTGTGGTGGTATAGGGATGGCTGGCTCATGTTCAGCAAAGGACTTTACTTTTTGGGCTGTTTCCACAGGCCTAAAGCAGGAACAGGGGTATGTTTTGGTCCTGTGGGACAAAAAGGTCCATGGTGGGTTTCATCACCAATCTTGAGTTAATGGAATTGCATTAAAGTGTGGGTTGGAAGCCCCAAGTTACCCTTTCCACATATTTTGGTCTGTGTGAAAATTAGGGCAGCAAGAATTGATATGATCTTCCTGTGAAGTGAAGGCTGCAGTTATGTCTTTTTTGAACTCCAGTCTCCTTCCCAGCCAGTAACAGAGCCAGATGCTTTTCTTATTGTTTGTATGTCTCCTTCCTCCCCTTCCAGCGCCTGGGCCCCACTTGCCTTATTGACTGGAATTTCTGCTGTGTGCAGTGGGTGTGTGCAGCAGACACCAGCCTGCTAGTGCTGAGGAGGGATTTTCCATTCACAGACCAGGGAACTGTCAAAATAAAGTCCCGGCTCAACTTTGGGACTGGAAACAAACTGGGGAGAGTAGTTTCCCTCTGCTGCAGAGTACAGTTTATTCTCTGAGCTTCTTTCAGGCTTGTATGTCAAAATGCATAGGAAATGTTGCTCTGCTGTGGAATAGGGAGGTAAAACTCCTGTGGCTAACTGGGAAAGATTCCTCCCTTTTGGTTGACTCAAATGCTCGAAGGAACAGTTTGCAGGAGGCCATTTTTGACGTGACTCTCTATTGTGGAATCTGCCAGCTCCCATCCACACTCTGTCTGCCTGACTGCAATAGCTTCCTTTTTTTTTTTCCTTCAAAGGAAGAATGAGTGCCTTTCTTATCTGCTTAACTAACCATTTGGCACTGGCCCCTGTCTGTATGATATTGTGCTGTCGAGTTGGAGCTATCAGCATATTCCAGTTCGTTTGTTAGAGATGAAACTGTTAGTTGAGGTATGCAGCATGGGAATACATTAGCATTAGAAAACACTGCCATCTTTGTAAACTAACACCTATCATGGGGAGCCCCTTGCCCTGGCCTGAGTTACCCAACTCAGAATTACTATGAGCTCGAAGCAAGAAAATTCCAGGACCAGAATAATGTGAGAGAGATTAAGATATGCCCTTAAATCCGATTGACTGGCAGCAATCATGTGGTAGATGCCAAACTCTGAGTAGCTTTTATATTTGGGGATCTGCAGCACCCAAATTGCCTCACAAGGAGGGGTGAGCAACTTTTAACCCCCATAAAACACATCAGTCTCTGGGGCTGGAGGTGTCATCCATTGCCTAACCTGGAGTGACATGATACCAGTACTGAACTGTTAATTTTGTGAATATGAAAACTGCTACTTGTTTTAATGAAATACAGAAAGTGATCTTCATGGCCCCTTAGTCTTTGTTTACTGTCTCTGTGTAGGTTGTTTACAGTCTCTCTGTAGGTTATAATGGGGAATTGGTCCATTGTCTCACATTTTGTTGGATAACTGGCACCGCTTTGACAAGGCCCTGGCTCTTCACTTTACTGTCAAATCCCAAGTGACCTGAAAGTAATATTCCTTAGCTAATGTTGTCTGATATTTCCCTACTGCAAGGTGGGGTGATGAAATCCTGTGTACATTTAAATCACTTTTTAGAAAGAGCCTCAGTTACCGCGAGATTTTATTTTAAAACTAATAGATCAAAGTTGAAAAAATACAGGAATGGGATGGCATTGAACTGGAATCTCAAAACATGAAAAAGTTAAACTCTTTTCTTCTGGAGGGAAAAAACCCAACCAGCAATCATTGATTTAAGTTTTCCAAATTATCCTTGAAGTAAAAAAGCCCCATTTTTAATGCAAAGTTCCAGGTGAAAAGTGTGCAAGGGAGAGCTAAATGTGTGATGTCCTAGACAAGTAATTTATTAATTTGTCCAGTCTATGCTTTCTCCCATTTTGGATGATCAGACTTTTACAAACTTGTGTTGAATGATGTGATGAGATAAAAATGTTTCTATCTATTCTGGCAATATTAAAACAAACATAATGACTGTTCAGAGGTTTGAAAATTCAAAAATCATTGTTCTCATGACAATATTGCTGTATTACAAAAGCACATTTGTATTTTTACTCTGGTGCTGCTTGTGTGTGTAACTCTGAAATTTTGCCAGTGAAATGCCGTGTTGTGTGCAGTATATGGGAAAGATTGCAATAGGCAAAGTGTTCTTTATGTGTACAAGATGTAGTAGCAGTGCTTGAGTTGAAATGTTAAATGTGCTTAAGTGTATAGCATGTGAGCTAAGTCTCCGTTACCCTTATGAAACTTAAGCTGCTATTTGATTTTAAAATAAAAATGTTGTTGTATTTTACTTGTCTGTTTAGTTTTTTTTCCT